CCCCAAAACCCCAAAACCCCAAAACCCCTTATTTCTTAAAAAATTAAAAATCATGTAATTTCAAGTTTAGTGAATTAATCTTATTAAATAGTAATTAAATGATGAATATTTAATGATTGACTTAATAAATTATTAAATTGAAACTTTATAAATTTCATGTCAAACACTAAAAACCTAAAATAAAATTTCGATATTCCTTATTCAGAAGATATATAAGCTGTTAAGACCCCACTTAACTTTGAGATATCAGAAACATAATCTCTACAAAATGACTTGAAGAAGAGAAATATAAAAAGACCTCAAAACTATTATCTAGCAATCATCTTTGCCTTCTCGAGTGCTTTTGGATTTGCCATTCATAATTACTTTGTAACATACGGTATCAGAATGAGAAATAACTCAAGTTCGATAGCCTTCGCCGAATTTTTTAGTTTAATGGCAGCTCCTATATTCTTATAGATGTATCTTGCAGGCCACAGTTTTAAGAATAAAGGAAAACTCTGGATAAAACAAGAGTCTCAACTTTACGATAAATCTACTTTGAGATTTAAGTACATCTGCTTATTTTGTGTTATTTCTAGAGGTATTATATCTGTATTTCTGAACAGCAATGTTGGTTTTATGGCTTATTATTCGTTCAGGGCAGATATAAGCCCAAGCGTGATAATTTCAATTAATAGCTTGACGTCATTCACAGTAGCAATAGTATTTTACTTTTTATATCACGAGAAACTTAACTTCAAGCATTTAATTGGGATGATTTTAATAATAATTTGTGTGGTCTTAATTGCTATTTCAAAAAGTTTCACTATTTAGAGACCTTTAGTTGAAGAGCCAATTACAGTCTTTGTACCAATATTTTTTGCTCTTTTGTAAGTCTTAGTAATGACTTTATCAACTGTGATCATTAGAAAATCTCAGGAGAATGGATATGATGTTATTAGATTCTGTATTGATTAGTAAATTGTTTCAGGCGGGTTATTTTTGCTACTCTTTTTGCATTCTCATTTTACTTACTTGCCTTATACTTGGACCTAGCTTTGGTTTATTTAAATAGCTGTGATTGCGTTTACCAGTGCAGTAATAGCTTTTAACTACTCACTTAGGTATGGTAAAGGAGGTATTTCTATGGCTATTTGTCAATTATAGAATGTATTTTAGCTCATCCTTGAAGTACTAGTGGAGGGCAGGATACCGAATTATTTTGAAGTATCATCAATAATATGCGCTCTTGTTGGATCTATAATTTTAGCTATTGCAAAAAAATGATATGAAATTAGAAGATAAATATATTTAAACTATAATTGAAAAATGTTAAGAATGCTTTTGAGATGTTCAAAAGCAAGCTATGGTTGCCATGTAAATGAGGAATTAATTCAAACAATTTTATCTTTCTAAAATTCAATATATTTATCTATTTTATTTCTATTCTAACTTATTTATTCGCTAATGAAAGATAATAGAGTATCATGGGGTTTTGGGGTTTTGGGGTTTTGGGGTTTTGGGG